ATGTAAGAAAAACAATAGATGATTTAAAAAAAGTGCTGAAAAATTTTGAATCCAGAGTTGAATTCACTGAAGACTTGCAGAAGATGAGTGATGTGGGTATTCGTTTTTATTTTCTTGCATTTTCTAGAAGATATTTTCAAATTTGGTGTAGTGGGCAATTTTCTCTACTTGTGTCTTGGTGCTTCCAGAAATGTTTCTTAGGCTGACTGCTTTGATGGTAATATGTTAAAGTTTTCTGTTATTAATATGCTCATTTTCCTTGTTTAAAAATTAGGCTGCAGGTGATATTGTTGACATAAGAGAAGAAATTAAAAGTGACTTTGAATGTAAAGGTAAGCAATGAGATTGTTATATATGAAATTTTTCAGATACTTGGCATTTGTGTGGATTCTTGAAGGAATTTTGGAAACATTTGGTATTGTTATATAAAAGGCAAATGAATTTCGATTAAAAGCTTGCTTTCTGACTATTGTATTTAAGTCCCCCCCCCCCCATACCCCGAGCTCTCTAATGATCCTAAACCTCCAAGGCCCCAGAGACCCAAACTTCAGATGTGAATCTTCTCTTAGTTTGATCTTTGACCTTGGCTTGGTCAGGAACTGTCTTCTGTTGGTTTTCATCTGTAAGTTTAGACAGTGTTTTTGAAGAATGACGATCAACATGTTTTAGCCTGTGTGTCTCGGTACCTATAGCAGTTTTGCACAGGTCATGTATGTGAGCATACAGTAAGATGTCTTTGCCAAGGATGAGTTGCAAGTTTGGGATTATCCTGTGAAGACAGTGGCTTCTTCACCAGTTGTTCTGTGCCAAGGTCCTGAATAGTTTGATGTAATTTGCAACTATAGATTTGCAGCATTTGTTTTTCAAGTTCACACTTCTTGAAAAGAGAGTTCCCATCAGAAACCAGTTCTCGGTGAAGTAGAGGAAGCAGATATAGCAGGGCAGAGAAAGACAACTTTGTTGGAGTGATTGATGAAGAATTTATATGTGCTTAAAGTCTGCAGCATAAACATTGTCACTACTGTAGACTTAGTACTGCCCTCACAATAAGGCAGGCACACACAATTTCAGTGTTTTTAAGTCAGTCAGACACTGGTGTTTAAATCCTGTGCTTGGGAGGCAGAGGCAGGCAGATCTGTGAGTTTGAGGTCAGCCTGGTGTACAGCAGAGAGAAACCCTGTCTCAAAAAACAAAACAAAAAGAGGAAACTTCAAGTCTAGTATGTGATACATTTTACATAAGGTTTATTTGTTATTTGAGATGGGAATTTGAAAGTAGGATGGAGTTGAGGTCATTTGATAGAACAATTTCTCATAACAGATAGTACTTTAGACTTCACATTACCGCCTTCAAAACTTTAATTTGCTTTATTAAGAAAAATCTATTTTTAAATGAAAAGCAGATAGTTTTGTGTTCATAGTTGATCTATCTCCTGCCCCCACATGACTGTTGCAAATAAAATAAAGCAATTTAAAAGACAGCATTGTTCATATATAAAATTATAATAGAACTTTCCAGAGATTAGCTTCTATCAATTCCTCTTGGGGTATGCATTCTTGGCAGTGCCTTAGGGTTTGAAGTATCCTATGGCAGGGTGTTTCATATCACTCTAGTAAATGGAGTCTCTTGAGTTACGATGGTAAGTGGATATTACTTGGGTGGAATTTTGCATAGTAACCAGGGTGCATCTTGATTTTGTGCTTGTGTGGTGTTGAAGTCTCAAAGCAGCTCCTTATACTCCCTAAGGTGTGTGTCCTTCTCTGAACTGACCGACTGAGCAAGTTCAGAAGGCCGAGCTGCTACTCTTTCTCAACATTCCTCTCCCGAAAAGAAGGTCTTACAGTTCTGAACTTTGATTTTCTCATATAGATTATTTAAGTTGCGTACTTTTCCTTTTTAAATAGGAAAACAACGAATTGCTCATAAACCTCATTCCAAACCAAAAACTTCAGATGTTTTTGAAGCAGATTTTGAAAATGACGTAAAACCCAAGGATTTGCTTGCTGATGAGGAATTATGGGCTCGACTTGAAGAGCTTGAGAGACAAGAAGAATTGCTGGGTGAACTTGATAGGTGCTTAATGACATATTATTCTTCCAAGAGAATATGTATCTATAAAATAGTGTGTGTTTATTGAAGAAAATGTAGAAAACTGTAGACTTATCAGCAGCTTGTCTGCTCTCAGATGAATATTATTTTTGCAGAATATATTTTTTTAGGAAAGCACATTGCTGTTATGCATGTCCACACTGAAAACCATAGTCTGTATCACTCAGATCTCACCATATTATAATGAAGTAATTATACTTTATAGTAATTGCATTAAATACTAACAAAAAATTTAAAGGTGACCAAACTTTATTTTTTGAGGTGCTAGTGATTGAACTATTGCCTCTATTTTACAAGACAAGCGTTCTACACTGCCAAAGCCCTCACTCCTAAATAACACATTTTTAAATGATATAATTTTATACTGTTCTTGAGATAATGTTCTGTCCTTGGATGACTTGTTTAGAAAAAAAAAGTTGGCTTTGAATTTAAATTTGATACTGTAAAATGTTTGTCCTTGTTTTTGATTTGCAATCTTTGTGTTTATTGAGTAGCTATTTATAATCTGGTCAGGTAGTCCTGTGTACAAGAAGCTTCACCAAACTGTCATTTGAAATAACATTAGCACTCACTTAGAACTGTCAGAGTGCTATATGAAGTTTGTTACTTCGGAAGTTCCTGTATTATTTTGCTTAAATGATGTACCATATACAACAGTTAGTTTCTGTGAAAAATAGGCCACAAAAATTTTCCTTTATTCTTTCACCTATGAATTGTTAGGGCCTTTTGATCACTGGCACTAACTACTTCATTTTAAAAAACTAGTGCTGGCTTTAGGAGTCTTAGTCATGATTCTCTTTATTTGCATGATGTCATTTCATTTCTGTTGCATTTTTAGTTCAGTTATTTTTGTAAAGTCTTTAGATCCTTTATGGAATGAAGCGTGATAAATGTTCATTTGTGTGTAAATATATGTTCATGTGCACATGTAGAAATCCTTTATCTTGAAAAATTCCAGTACACATTGTCATAAAAATTTCTGAGGCCAAAAATAAATAAATAAAAAAAATAATAGAATATTGCAATTTGTGGGGTTGGTGCACGAACTTCTGGTCTTAAAAATAGAATACCTATTTTTAAAAATTTCTCTTTTAGTTTGAGAGGCTTTATTATATAGATTTATATGTGGGAACTTGAAAGAGAGATAGAAATGTGTTGGGGTTTGGGGGAGAGAACATTGAGCAAACTCCTGTGTAACAGGAGTTGGTCTCAGGAAATGGGGTAGGTATCTACCTCTTAAAAGTTTCCTTCCTTCCTTCCTTCCTTCCTTCCTTCCTTCCTTCCTTCCTTCCTTCCCTCCCTCCCTCCCTCCCTCCCTCCTTTCTTCCCTTCCTCTCTTTTTCCTTCCTTGCTTCCTTTCTTTTCTGTTTTCCTTGTGGTTTTTTTTTTTGAGACAAGAGTTTCTCTGTGTAGCCTGGGCTGTCCTTGAACTCACTTTGTAGACCAGGCTCGCTTTGAATTCAGAGATACCCGTCTCTGCCTCCCTAGTGCTGGGATTAAGGGTGTGCACCACCACAACTGGCATATTTATTAACTTAATTATATTATATTCATACTACATCTGGCCAGTGTCCAGAAATAAAAATATACATGTCCTAATAGTTCTTTTGTTTGAGAAGCTATGGAATGTTGAGGTGTGTAAGAACCTTGCTTCTGTTAATTCTCTGTATTTGTTTGATCTTATTAATATTCTTATTTCTTCATCTAGTAAGCCTGATACTGTGATTACAAATGGAGAAGACACAGTGTCTTCTGAGGAGGAGAAGGAAAATCAAGGCACAGGTGTGAATGTGGTGCCTCCAGTGACAGACTCCTTTGCCTCTGGCAGCTGTTGTATGCATGCTCGAAATGCAGGACTCCCTAATGGTCAAGCCAGTAGTCTTTTGAACTGTTCAGTGAATGGTTCAAATTCTTACCATAGCAACGAAGAAGATGAAGATGATGATGATGAAGACACTGATGATGGTGATGATGATGATGATGATGAAGAAGAAGAAAGTGACCACGCTATTTCAGCAGATAATTCTATACCAACAATATATTTCTCTCATACTGTTGAACCTAAAAGGGTTTGTATTCTTCTAACTTTGTTGTCATCAAACATCATCTATACTGTATTTTAAAGAGAAAAACATTAACAATAACTAAGATTGTTAATCTTGCCAAACAGGAAAAGCATGTTTTCTGCTTATCTGACCAGTAAACCTTATTAGGAAAAGAAAAGAGTAGTTAGTTGATGATGGTCACACTAAACTTGAATGCAGTGACTGACTCACCTGTCTTTATTCCAGGGCTCTCTTAAGATTAAATTGTGAGCATTTAAAATGAATATAAGATTAGTTACTGGTTTTGTTTTATTTTTAATATTAGGTTGCTTTTCTGTGGGTGTCAAGTGAGTACTGGTATCCTGAGCAACAAGGGAAAATTTGGGAGTGGGGAGATGAAAGCCAGGTCTGTTTTGAACAAATTAAATATAGACATGAAATAATGGGTTTACAGTTTTTGCATTTTGGAGCTGAGGTTGACTATATAGATCTTGTGATCCGTTGTTTTCAAACTTTGCTTTAGTACCAAAAGCGTTTGTTCTTTCATACCTAACTGTAGAAGCCCAGTATTTAAAATAGGTGAAAATGGACTAGCTGTGGATGAAGTGGAGGCTACCATGAGTCCACCCCCACCTACCTTCCCTCTGTTCTATGCACTGTGCTGAAGGGCCTGGCTGTGTGTCATAGGGAATGTGAAGACCTGTAAGGCAGATCTGGTTAGCAGCAAGTAGCCTCCCTACTGGTTGGTCAGTAGGGCAGTCTGCTGTAATTGGTTATTATGTAGGAGACATTTTAATACTTACTTGATATTTCTTAAGCTTTAGTTATCTCTGCCCTATCAGAAAGTGAAAAAAATTACATGTATTATTTTTCTTAATTCTAATTATGCTAAAGGACTTTTGGAATATTTTGTGAACAGTTAAAAATGAAGCATTGTTGATACTCCCCCTCTCCCCGGCTTTTAATATTTCTTATTTTCCTTAGAAAAAGCCAGAAAACACACAAATACTCTTAAAAGGAAATTATGAAATGCTCGATCAGCACAGCAGAGAAGCTTATAGTCTTGAGCACGTTTGGCTTTTTCTTAGTCTTATTGTTTTCTGGAGGTAGAGTGGTATTTAAGCAGTCAGACAGTGAAGTGTTATCTGTGTTGTACTTGTGACTCAGGCTTACAACACATGGATTAACCCATAGATGCATTTGTAAGTTGAAGGCGGGGGAGGCTAGGCGTACAATGAGTATGGAATTTAGTTTCAATGTATTTTGCCTTACATACAATGGTAAAGACACTGGTAATAGAATAGGCTGTCGAAGAAGATGTAGTGTTAATAGAAATGTGACAAAAGTCAGACTTGGTCACACACATAATTTCAGTGCCAGAAAATTTCAGCTGTGTCTCTTGCTGATAACTATGTATAGTTTGTTTTACTCTGGGACTTGACTTTTTTTCTGACAGTGTTTGATCTTTTTTTTCTTTTTCTCTTGAACCAATTTTAGGTTCGAATAAACACTGGGAAGAATACCACTTTAAAATTCAGTGAAAAGAAAGAGGAAGCCAAACGAAAACGAAAGAGCAGTGCTGGAAGCCATGCTACCCACGAGCTGCCTGCAATCAGGAGCCCGGCTGACATTTACAGGTGAGTGAAGGCCCTGGCATCCGTGGCCCTTCCTTCCCTTTCCAGTTTGCAAGGGGTGGTCTGATGGCTCCACTCCCAGAGGGAGAGACCAAGTGCCACACAGCCTGCCACCTGAATAGCTGGTGCTGGTGGTTTCTTCCTCATAGTTCTCTTCATATGTCACTGGAGGCTGGTGTACCTTGTAGAACTTGCCTGCCACAATTGTCATGAGCTTGTCCTGTATTTCACCTGTTAGAGTGGGAGCAGCTTCAACACCTGCCATTTTATGACCCAGATTTGCAAACTGCTGAAAATTCCTGATGTTTTGAAATAGGTGTGTATTTTGGCAAATCAAGTTGTTTTCACCTGGAACATATTTATAAGTAGCACAGTGTATTTTATTGGGTCCCAAACTCATCTTTGAAAGTAATATAAGGTACGTTCTGTGAAGTTGCAAACTTACTCTGAATGTGACAGTGTAGAGAAAACATTTTTAGCAAGAAAACTCAGTTGGGTTTGGTGAGTTGTGTGGGATATGGAGGTGGCAGCATAGGCTCACCTACATGAGACCCTGTCTCAAACAAATGGCCTCAAAAAACAAATCTTAGATTAATTTATAGAACAAAATCAAGAACTGTTGGTGAAGTTCTCAGTTACAAACCCTTGAAGTGAAGTGAGTTCTTGAATGCTGTAGAGTCTTTGTGGACGTTGTGAATGGGGAGTATGTCCCTCGGAAGTCGATCCTGAAGTCTCGCAGCAGAGAGAACAGCGTCTGCAGCGACACGAGCGAGAGCAGTGCGGCCGACGTGGATGACCGGCGTGCAGCTCTGAGAAGTGTGGGCTGTGAGGAGGCCTCGGGCACTGAAGCCAGTGCGAGCATCGTGCAAGAACTACAGGAGAGCCACCGCAAGGAGCCCTCAGGAGTACCTGAGGTCTGTGCCTTAGCTCTGTTTTATGTCACAGGCCCATGATTTGTTTATTCTAAAACGTCAAAGGAGGTACCATCAATCCTCACTTGTGCTTTTTTGTTTTTCAGACACATTTTAAAGATAATAAGAAGGCTTCATGCTCATCATGATGACATGGAGTGTTTAGAAGTTAGTGTTCTGAGCTTAGCAGCTTGGCCTCATGCTGTGAGGGCGGGGCATTCTGTGTGTGGGGATAAGATGGAGAATAGTGGGGTGGACAGAAGCAAAGCCACAGAAAGTCTTTCTTAAAGAGACAGTATAGGAGGGCTAGTGGGGTGGCTCTGTGGGTAAAGGTGCCTGCTGCCATCCTGATTTACCCACACGTGGAAGGAAATGCAACTCTGACCTGGACATGTACATTGTGGCACACACGCACAGTTCCAAATAAATAAATAAATACATACACACATACATACATAAATGTTAAGCGTAGGAAGAAGTGGGCTACTTGAGCCAAGGGGCCAAAGAGCTGCCTGACAGTGGTTTCTAAACTAAGTGATACGTTGTCTTAGTTTTCATCACTTCTAGAGAAAACTAAGTAAAATGTATTCAAAACTCCATGTGTCAGTTTTTAAAGTTTTCAGTTTATGCTTAAGTTCTTAGCAAGGGCAAGGTTCCAAATACTAGACAGTTTAAAAAGGGACTCCTTGGCCTTCATTTTTCTTGATATGAAAGACTCATCAAGACAGTCTGGCGATTTATATGTCTTCTCATTCCAGTTGAACATAGTTGATTTTTTTATTAGATGAAGTTCTATAAAATTCAGCCACAGTAGAAGAGCATTTTTGTTTTTTTGGTGACGTGGCTAATTTATGGCATTAGATTGATTGTCCTAGAATTTTGAAAGCTGTTCTGATTCACATTAGTGTCAGCACCTTTGTTTTTTAATTTTTACTGATCAGTGCAATAAAGAACTTGAAAACTTGGATACATAAGAGCCATGAGAAATGTCAGCATTGGTGAAACAAAGCTTTTGACTGTCCAGCATCAGGGAGTTGAGGGAGCCTGGGCAGGAGCCCCATTTACACCCTTGTAGACTCCGTGTGTAGTAGATATCACAGACAGCTGGAGAGATTGAAGTGTGTTGGGGAGGGGCATTATTTGTCATTTTGTGTTTTTCCAGTCAAAAGAGAGCTTTACATTTCTTTCCTTTCCCTTCCTCCTTCCTCAGGTTGTCTCTGTGTAGTGCTGACTGTCTTGGAACTCCTTATGTAGATCAGGTTGACCTCAAATTTACAAAGATCCATCTGCCTCTGCCTCCTGTATGCTGGGATTAAAGGTGTGTGCCACCATACCCAGCTTGCATTATGTTTTCTTATATATCCACCATAAAAAAAAAATTCCATGTACTTAATGGTATAATTAAGAAAAATCATGTTAAGCAGAGTGGTGGTGGCACATGTCTTTACTTCCAGGTGGGTGGATCTCTCGAGTTTGAGGCCAGCCTGGTCTACAGAGTGAGTCCCAGGACATCCAGGACTACACAGAGAGAACCTGTCTCAAAAAGAAACAAACAAACAAACAAAAAGAAAAGAAGAAAAAAAAAAAAAAGAAGAAGAAAAGTTATGTTACTTGGCTTCTGTGATCAATCAGTATTCTGATGTTTATTATCCAAAATTATCATTGTAGTTTTCTAAAAAAAAGTCTTGGTAATGGAGGGTAAAGTTTTTTTTGTGTGTGTTTTATTTATATTTAACATCATATGCTTTTGTCTCACAGGCTTTTTCTGGGACTGTAATAGAAAAAGAATTCTCATCACCCTCCTCAGCACCACACTCAGCCGTTGCTCATCATGCCCTACCCACTATTCCAGAGCGAAAAGAAGTTCTGTCAGGAGCATCGGAAGAACCTGCAAAGAGGGTTTCCAAGTTCAAAGCTGCCAGATTGCAGCAGAGAAAGTAGAGGAGATGGGCTTTACCTTGTGCAACTCAGACTTTACTTGAGGGCACAGCAAACTCAGCCTGGAGCTGGAAAGGCGCTCTGCCTCACTCGGCAACAGTTCTGTCACCTTCATCGGTGGCATTTCAGTAGTCACAGTCAATGTTTGCATACTGTGATACTCTGCTGGCATTGTTAATTCCTGAATACTGTCTAATTGGCCTTAGGATGCAGTAGCAGCATTTCGATTCACTTTTCAAAGAATACTGTCATGTATTGTTTTTGTGTCTCCAACTAAACACAGGCAGTTTTGTACCAGCTGTGATGTTGTGCTTGCCATATGGACTGTGCTAAAGAAACTTTTAAATTTTCAAATAGATTCAACAATTATATTACTTGCTTTCACATCTTAAAGGCACTTTAAAAAATCTACATATCTCTTGTAGGTTTCACAGCTAGGTGGTTCTTTGAAAAACTTCCTTTGACTCATACTGTAATGTTTAAGGCAAGAAGCTGCACAAACCCTATGGGAATTTTGACTAGAACAATAATATTTTGTACAACTTTTTTTTGCAAGTAAAATTTTTATGAAACTTGGTTTCTAAAATGTTGTGAACTTCCTGGTTTAGAGTTGTGTATAAAAATGTTTTTGGTTTGTGTGTATGCTATCAGACCACACCACAGATTCTTAATTTCTTAAAGTCCTGCAAACACCTCTTTTCCCTTGTGCATACAGTCTTTACTGGGATTGTCTAGGCTTTTTTAAAATAAAGTTTTTTTTTTTTTTTTTTTTTTTTTTAACTGTTTCAAGCTTCCTCATATTTTCATTCTTCAAGGCTGCTTTGCTACCAGTAAAAAAAAAAAAAAAGTATTTACTTGTAGCCAAACGCCTTAAAGAGACATTTAGTCTCAGGTTGACCATTACAGTGCAAGTGTTGATCATTAGCTTGATGCATGCTAAAATGTAGCTTTTAAAAAGCATTCTAAAATAAGCCATCAACCCCAATCCACCCCCTATTCATGGCTAAATATTTGAAGGTTATTTATAGTTTCTTTAATGAATTCTTGCTTAAACAAAGTGAAATTATGTCCTAGAAAAAGAAAAGTAGAAGCTATAACTAGAGCAGTACCACTGTCAAAGTTTTATGAAATATGTATTTTAATGATAAAGCAGTGAGCTTGAATCCATTAATGGATAATTTAGAACAAGGGACTAAGTTTGAAAGACTGCCTAAAAATATAATAGATCCGTTTTTCTAGCCAATGTTGATTATCTGTACATATATTTTGTACTTAAAAATGGTTTTTCCTTTCTGATTACCCACCTCCCAAACCAACCCATCACATCACACCCACTGCAGGAGTACCCTGTTCCTCCTCCTTAGCTGCCACTTAAGTGAGGCTTTCTGTGTTAACCTCCAGATATAAGCTTCCTTGTAGGACTGTTGTATCTTTCGACATGTAAACCTCAATTGTGCTGTCATTAAATAACGTTCCGTGTTCATGAACTTACTTTGAGCCTGCTTTTATGTCTTTGTGTTTCTTCTTTCAAATAAGTTCCACCCCCCTCACAGAATTCCATGATGGTAGAAGCAAAGAAAGAGTCTAATATTGGGCTTGTGTTTTCTGCTGAAGACCCAGATGAAACAGTTATAAGTTTCATAGAGTCAGTCTTACAAGTTTTAAACTGTAATTTTAATGTATACTTTCATTTGTACGAATGTAAAACTTTTGTTTTTCTAAGGCAGGACCTCACTGTGTCACCCTGGTTGGGCTTGAACTTGATGTCCTACCCTGGGTACGGGGGCTGGGTCCATAGGCTCACTTCTAGATAAGTCCTCTCAGATGAGTACTTTTGCTGTTAAACACAAACAAACATTACAGGCTCATGATCTGCTCTTTTCTTCTGTCCCAGCACTAGAATGAGTTTCTCCTGGGAGCCCTCATTCCTAAGACGGTGGGTGCCTAGAGACCAGCAGCTGCTTTCATGTGTTTGCCTCTGAGGCATCAGTGCCCATCCTATGCAGCTGGCAGAGCTGTACATGCATGTACACTAACAAGTACACGTTAATATCTGAGTGTGTTAAAACTATACCTTTTCCCACCATCAGCTAGCCTGACTCTTACGCATACTTGTCTGTGAAGCACACAGTTTGGTGCTTGTTTGTACTCCTGGGAGAAACACACTGTGTTCCACTGAGTGCAGTTCCCTATGGTAGGCGTCACGAAACCAGCACCCCAAGTCCCTTTGATTGGTTCTGTATGTTCCCTTTCCATCACCTTCACTAGGATTGTGTTGTCCTTGGGTTGATACCTTGTATTTTACTGTGGCTTCACTCCACATCCCGGTTGGATTAATAGTTTATCTGGGAGGCATGTAAAAGGTCTGTGGAAGTCAAAGTGATTCTGAGTCAGAGCTGAGTGAGATATCAGAAGTGTCACTCTTCCTTCTGCCTCGGCTCACTGTCTCTTCCTCTGACACCGCCATGAGACATTGTCTCACTGAAACAGTTTCTTCTGCCCAAGTTTCCATCTCCAGACTGTAAGTAACTATGCTTTCAGTTTCTGATTCACCCTTTATTTCTTCTGGACAAGTAGCAGGCATGTGTGTTTGTGTGTGTGTGTGTGTGTGTGTGTGTGTGTGTGTGTGTGTGTCAGGCTTTTCAGTGTTGGGCAAAGAAGTCACGAATAGGGACAGACTGAATGGCTTGTTTGGTGTTAGACTAGATAGAATAAAGCATTGGTATAAACTCAGGGGTTTTTGTGTGCACAGGTGTTTAATATGCTCATGGTTACTTACATGAAAGATGGCATTCTCCATTGCACATTTTTTAGTGAGTAGTATATGCCCTAATAATTTCTCTATAGGTTCCCAGAGACTCACTTATTTTGCAGTAAGTGCAGTACTTACTCTGGTATGTGGTCAGTGCACTGTTTCCTCATTCTCTTACCTTCCTAAGGCATTGAGGGGTTTCCTACATTTTGCAGTCATGTTCAATAGTACAGTTAATGCATCTAATTGTATTTTGTGTCATCGGAGGTGTGTCTTCAGGGCAGATCCTGGAGGTAGAATTGATGGATCATCTACCTAATTGCTCTTTAATTCTTCCATAACATGGTCAAATCTGTTTTTAAAAATACTTGCATTGTTCTTTTATAAATGATATGGTTTAGACATACCCATATCTGCATTTCATTGACTTTTTTTTTTGTATGTGTGTGTATGTATGTGTCTACACATGTTTACTCTGGGGGGGGGGTCCCATACCCATTTGACATTTCAATGCATGGTTGGGGGTCAAATTCTGGTTCTCATGCTTGCCAGGCAATCATTTTTTCTACTGAGTCATTACCCTGATAATTTCTTAAATATTGATATGGGACAATACAGGATCTTATGGGGGAATCAAAATTTATTAACATGCCATTTTCCCACATTTTAAAAGTACAATTTTTGGGGGTTTAAATAAAAAACCCAATTTCTTTTTTTTATTTTATTTAATTTTATATAACAAAGTCCAATTAAATGAAAACAAACATTTATACACAATATTTGGGAATTTGGGCGTCGTTCTTTCCAAACTACTTCCTGCTGGTAAGGGGCGCTGTCTTGGGGGGATTCGAAGAATGTTCAGATATCCTGGCTGTAGTCTGTAGGGCTGTTTTGTCCAGCTGTTTTGAATGTAGGGTTAACTTGTACTCTGTTTCAGGCGGTCTGGTGTGATCAAACCACATTAGTCTGGAAGGAATCCACATCTTTTCATTTTCTGTGGAAACAAAAATAGAAATCCTTTTCCCCAGTAACTTGTCCTTCAACTTAAATTTTGGAGTCAAAGCATTTTTTTTTTAATTTAATTTATTATTTTACATGTCGATCCCAGTTCCCTCTCTCTCCCTCCCTCCCTCCCTCCCCCCAGCCCTCCCTCTCTTCTTCCCTCCCTTTTACCCTCTCTGCCCTCTCACATGCACTCTAACCACGCTCCCCTCCCATCCCCCACCCCAATTCCATATGTAGGGGAATGCCATCCAGTTGGGGTCATGTAGATCTGACAGGTCCTGTGAAGTAGGGACTAGGACTTCTCTCTCCTGTCTCTATAGATTAAGGCAGTTATCCCTCCATGGGGGATATGTTCGCAAAGTCCTTTTGTGCACCAGGGATACATCCTGGCTCCACTGTCTGAGGTCTCTTAGACTGCTCAGTCCTGGCTGAGACCCATATTCAGGGGGGCCTGAGTCAGTCCCATGCTGGCTTCCCAGCTATCAGTCTAGTGGCCGTTAGCTCCTCCTTGTTCAGATAAGCTGTCTCTATGTGTTTCTGCCGCGTGGTCTTGTCCTCTCCATCTGCTTCTGGGTTCTAGTTCGACTCCGTGTTTATGTATGGGTGTTTGCTTCTATTTTCACCAGGCATTAGTTGAGGCTCCATGGAGAAGTTAGTTGTTGATCTTACTCTCCGGGAAGGGCATTTATGATAGCCTTTCCACGGAAGCTCATATTGTTATTTGGGAGCAGTCTTGTAGTTCTCTTGACCTTTCTTTGTGTTCAATTTTATCTTCAAACCAATATTGGCTCCCTCTTTTACATTCTCTCTCTCTGTCTCTGTCTCTGTCTCTCTCTCTCTTTCCTATCTTCTATTCCTAACCAGGCTCAATCTTCCTGGTCGCACATGAAAAAACCCAATTTCTTTTCAATTGATCATATATGTAACTTAACAGTTTTTTTTTCAACTATTGGAATATTTTAAAATCTGTGAAGTTCAGTTATATACTTATATACAAATTTGACTTCTCTGTAAGCAAGTTTTTAAAGAAGAAAACTAATCTTTACATAGGTATTCTTAGACATATGGCATATAATCTCCTTAGCTTTGTTAGGATTCCTAAGTTCACTTAGATCTTTAATTCATTGGTTAGCATTTTTAATGTGTACTTAATTTTTAAGAAACAACATTATTTTATCTATATGGGTATATGCCTGAATGTGTGTATGTGTACCATGTGTGAGGATGATCTGGTGGACAGCAGAAAAGAGTGTTGGATCATCTGGAACTGAAGTTTCAGGCAGGTATGAGCCACCATGTGAATGCTGGGAACCAGATCCAGGGCCTCTGGAAGAGCA